CTCTAATATGATGTTTAATGTAAAATGGAATACAGATTCATTTTCTTCAGAAAAGGAGGAATAATATAAAGGTGTATTGTTGAAACCTCAATGGTTTTTAAATGTTATACATCAAAGAATCCAATTTTATAAACTGAAAAGGATCTGCCCTACAACCCATCAGTATAATCCAAAAACTAATTTGCATGGGGATATTTTCTTGTACATTCTGGTACAAAAACTAATTTGCATGGGGATATTTTCTTGTACATTCTGGTACATATTAAAATTTTTTAATAACCCTGTAGAGGGATTTCAAAGGTAAAAATAGGAAGAAAAGACAATTATAGATTTTTCAATCACCAATTTTCAGTGTATTACTGAACCTCTGAGATTTTCAGCAAAGCAAATGCAGACCATATGCCGTTACCCTATTGAAAATTTTCCTAACTGAATCTTAAGACACCAAGTGGTGAAATAAACACAAGTATGAAAATATTAAAATAGCACATGATATAATACTGTTCATTCAACATAAAAAGCAATGTAATAGATTAGGCATTTATTACAAACAATTTTGATAAAGGTTATATTGGATATTTCAAGCTACATTTGAATCTTTACAATTATTTTACCATATTTTTCAATCTACAAAGTAGCTCACTGCATTGCACATATTCCAGTTTAATAATTTAATTTTTTTAGAGTTTTATTATAAACTTTGTGACATCAAATATGAATTAAATACAATAGAAATTTGACAATTCAGTCATATACTTGAGCTAAGAAAGTTGTTCTCTTTCATGTGCAAGTTTAAATTAGCTTTGCCTATTAAAGTTTGAAAATATTTTGACAATATTAATACAATGTAATATTTGCAAAGCTAATAATAAAAATTAGGAAGAAAAAGTATAATACAAATTTTATGAAAAACAAGAAGAAAGATCATGACAAACAAAGAACATGACAAAAACTATAAACTCTTAAAATTAATTGGAAAAATATTATAATCTTCATAAAATTGCAAAATTTAACTCTATGAAAAATATTGCATTTCTGAGAATTTAGCTAACTAATTAGCTCGCATAAAAATTCAGTGCATTTTAAAGAAGACAGGCATGGATTTTATATAGGAACTGTATGCATTTCAAGGAAGATAGGCATGAGCTTATATAAAACTCTATGCATTTTAAAAGAAAGACATGGGTTTCCTTTTTTCAGTAAGCAAAAATGCTCCGCACCATAAATCAAAAATATATCATTTACATAGACTCCAACCTTCAGCAAACCTTGTCAGTAGTCAACGCGCGAACGACATTTTTACAACTTTGAAAATGGCGCGTGAGTATGTTGTAATAACCAGTCATTAATTTAATTAATAATTAATTGTAATCAATTTTATTACATTAAAATCCATAACATATAACTGATATTAAATATATACCTGTAATTATAGCACATTTAATTAGAAATTTCTTTAACTCCTCAAGCATTCACAATAAAAATACTCAAATCACTACTAATCATAGAAAAATCAGAGCTATAATCATATCTTTATCTGGATATGATTCTACAGGGAAATAAATTTAAATAACCAAATGATACCTATAAGTATTAACAAAATACGCATAATATGAATGCAAAATTTATATTAGAATGCTTACAGCGTAAGTTCTGATTTTGCGACGTTTTTTTATAACAAGTCTTCATTTGCTGCCATTTTTATTTTTCAAGAAAAACGCTTCAGCGTTTTAGACCTAAATGTGGTCGAAATTCCAGCTGATTTTTTTTAAACATAGAAAAAATTTTTCGCAAGCTGATTTAATGAGGTATTATTAGACAGCAAGCATTACAGAAGGCAATACTTTGTATTTCATACACCCTTCATATTTGTAATTGGCAATTTCTCCCCATGCATTCAATACGCAAATCTACCATTTCTTTCAATATCTACTTGAACATGGAAAATTCAAGTTCTACCTGATTAGACTTTTTCATCATTAATATGGATGGAAAAGTATTCATAAGTAAAGACAAGAAGAATGAGACTTCAGTTGCCAGTGATTCAGCAACCTCAGCATGTTTTAGAACTGATCACCGTGGAATTTTTCATTATATGAACATGCAGTTACAAAAAAAGCCGCAAAATTGAAAATTTTCAATTCACTTTCATTCAACCCTGGCATTTTTAATATAGTCTTGATCGCACCAATCACTAAATTGTCATTTTATTGGTTACTATAAATTTCTGAAACGGAATAGACATTAGAGTAACATCTCTTTTCTTAGAATTACATGATGGTTTTAACGAATCTAACAAATAATTCTTAAAAGTTCAAATTCTCTTTCAATTTATGCATAAAGGAGCTTGGTTGCAATTAATTTTACTGTTATAACAAAGGCAAGTATTTTTAACCCAATACAATACAATTGGTGGTCGGTGACTGTAAAATTTTTGTAATGTTTTGCATCTCTTCCTTATTCTCACGTTATCTGGTTTACTCCAAAATTTATCACAGATCCCACGTTCCAAAATCCTTGTATAGATTCCAAAGAGCACCATCTCGTACTGAAATATTCAAATTTTAGGATTTTGACATTCTGTCCAAAATTGTTGAGCAACTTGAAGATAGTGCTTCCGTTCGAACTTTTCTCCAAGTAAAAATATATATCTATATCAACATTTCATTTCTGAGCAAATTAATGTTTCAGTAGAGTTTTTGCAGCTATATGCAAGAGGTGGACGACAACTCGGGTGATATTATTGGTGATGCATTTGATAAATGATGCTACAACTTAAACTTTCCATCTATTACAGCATATCTCTGAAGAAAAAATAATAAGCAATTGTTCATTCTAAACCTTGTTTTTAAAGTTTTATTTATCCCATAAAAATACCTTCTCCTGTATATCGTGCATTCTAAAATAGAAATCATGAAGTAATTATCACTCCCTTTTCTTTACTTAGTATGTTATAACCAATGGGTACAGTTGTTATTTATTGTTATCATTACTTCCATCAGTACTTAGAGAAAATGTACGCAAATGATTTATAATATCAGCAACAGTATTGTCTGAAGCGTTTTCACATAGCAGCATTTTGTATGCCCAGCAAATTTTTTTGCTATGCAGAATCCAGAACATTGCTTTGAAGAGCTCTTTGGAATGCTACGAAAGAAAGGTAGTTATGGTCAATAAAAACGAACAAAATGCAGTCGGCTTTATAGATCTGTTCATCATCTTTTATTAAGAATTTGTATTTCTTTCGATTTTACGTTGCCAGTTCTATATGCTTTGAGAAAACACATGCGTTACAGCATCTTTTCCGCCATGAGCAAAGAGAAGTCTTGTGCATACACTGCAGTGTGCAATTCCAGAAATTCGGACGTTTTAAGCATGAAATTCTGAAGAATGAACTTTTTAAACTTTGCTTTGATAATTTTGGTTCTCTCGGCGAGGTCAGCATTATGTTAAAAAATCTTTCCCTGATTCACAGTTCAAAGACACAAGCTAAAGCTTGCCGTAACTAAACAATGAGCGATGCAGCTCCCTAAACAGGCATCAGCGAGGGGACCTGGAGACAGACAAGAAATTGGGTGGACTATTGATAAGTCCGTTAACGGTGGAGCTGATCTACGATGCTAAATCTTCAAAACTAGGACGCACTCAACACGTGATATATGATAACACGTATTCAGCCAATCATCGATGAATTAGTTGGTTCCCGTTTTGCGTCTGGTTTACTGCTCTTGTTTCTGTTAAAAATCCGAGTTTTTATACTTTTCGTAGCTCGTAGTTTTTCATGAATTTCCGTAGAAACTACGGAGAATCCGTAGTAGTTGGAGTCTATGCATTTAGGTACGCAAATAAAAAATAAATAAATGAGATTAACATTTAAATAAATGAGATTTAAATTAAACAAGCAGCAACACTCATAGCATCACCTACAAAACAAGCAGAAAACAAAAGAAAAAGAATTAAAAATTATATGCTAAAACATAAAAATAAAACTTTATGAAACACTGGATGAGACTTGAAATCATCATCTAAAATTTATAAATTTCAATGAAAGTGTAAAACTTCAAGAAAATCTAATTCATCAGCTGAAGAATTAATTATGTTCCAATGAATTTCAGTGGAATAAAATTAATTGAATGACTAATGTGATACATTATTAGGCATTGAAAATTTTATTTATTACTTCTTTTCAGACATAATATTCTTGTTCTCTTACAAAAATTAAAATTAATAATAAATATATTTTAATGGTCTATGAATTTAGCAGATGCAGATAAAAATATAGAGAAAAGTTATAAACTTTTCATGAATTAAAATATGAAATATGATCAATCAAGGGCTGAATATAGAATTTTATTTCTAAGAGAGAAAAAAATTGGAAGTGGACTTGTAGAAAATCTAAAGAATTTTGTAACAGAAAGAGGAAAATATGGTGAGAATAAAAACATTGCAATTCTTTTGAAAGGGAGAAAACTTAAAATGGTGAGTAAAAACTATATAAATTACCAAAGAAGGGGAAAAAATGTTCGGCAGGAACAAAATTCAAATCTCTTTTTGACCCTATAAACAATATCAATATCTAAGGCTATATTTTGCTTAAATTAGAAATATAAGGCTTTATTTAACCAACAGATAAAATTACAAAATTTAACTTCATATGATATAAACAGGGTAAAATATTTAATGGAAGTTACTAAAGGCAGTTTCAGAAAAAATTGCAGCAATGCATGAATTTGCACAATTTTTCAAAAAGACTTTCATATACTTCACATATAAAGGTCCTCAAAAATGAAAATATCAGCAGTTTATTTTCCTTTTTAGAAGCTTGAGAAATTGATTAGACTTTAGTAGTAGTAAAAAGAACTAATTCTGTTTTATAGTCTTCAAATTCAAGGCATTTCAATTGTAAGATTTCAAAAAGGATTTAATTACCAATGTTTTAAATGTAGTTATATACAACACATGTAAAAAACAAACAAGTGTACTACACAGAGGTAACTTACTTCAAGCTCAGCTTGTTTTCTTGCAATTGTTATATTAAACAGATCCAGCCCTCTTTCATACTCCTAAATTTTATATAAATATTTTTACAAATGCAAACATAATAAATTATAAAAACAAATTCACTTCTTCTATAAAACAAGATTAAACAAAGTGGACAAAAATGAGAGTTATGACTTCTAAAAAATATGGTACTTACATACTATCACAACTATCTTAGTAGAAGTAGCCAAATTTTCAAAAAATGCCAAACTCTGGCAACCATGTGCATAAACATTCTTCCCGCAACCATGCTCATAACAATTGTGCCAATCAAGCAACACTGTATGTGTTTGTATGTGTTCTATTTTGTTGTATTCCAAGTTCCAACAAATTGTATATACAAATCATGACATTTTTTGCCTTAAACTTAGTTTTAAAATATGAGTTTGTGGAATTTGCCAGCAATGGAAGAAACTATAGTAAAATGTCAGCAGTAATACAGAATTTTGCTAAAAATTTTCTAAAGGGAACAATGAGGAAATGTATTTTATCTTTCTAAAAAAGATGGTGCAAAAACCAACTTGTACATGCTAAGCACCTTTTTCATCCATAAAAAATTGCCAAATTGTGCCAAGATGGTTGTGATAGTGTATAAATATCAACAATTATATTTTTAGATGTTATTGTTTTTACAAAGATATTGCTAAGTTTATTGTCTCATGAACATGGAGTGGGTTAGATTCTAAGCAAAATTTTTCAAAGCTCATTTCATCCCAATTATAATCAGCTATGGTTTTCATAAAATGCATATATAAATAACAAACATTATAACACAATAGAACACTCCCATCTCTCAGTACGATGCAATAAATTTATGCGTACTAAGATTTCAGATAGACAGAGCATGAACTTTGACAATTTGTTTTAGTAACTTCCTCTAGCTGCAGCACATTTCTTCTTAAACACTGACCACTTCTTAGACAAAAGATTTAAATTCTGTTTTTGGCTTGCATTTTAGCATCTCCTTTCTCATAACTTGCCAAGAATCTCCAATAAGATTGAAATCGAACAAATTTGGGACTCAGTCCGAAACTTCAACTATGATATACGGATTAACAATACCTTGTTGGAAGAGTGAATCATCACATATATGAAAATGAGATACTAGAACAGTGGTTCTCAAACTTTTTTGCCCCATACATCCCTTTCACCATTGCTATATCATTCCCACCTCTCTGTTTCAAAACTCAAAAAATGCATTATATACATTTATTTGAATTTAAATTACTTTTTAATATGTTTCATAAATTAAACAACAGAAAGGATAGAAAATGGTGATAAATATCAAAACTTGAATAAAAGTAGTTTTTTCTATTCATAAACTAAAATTAAATATCTAACAGCTAAATAAAAAAGCTGACTGCATTTCCCTTCCCTATTTCATGAATGAAAATCTTACCAATACCATAAAACCAAAACATGCATATAATTGCACAGACACTGGAAACTTTTCTCTTTATTCACATTAAGGTGAATCCATAATTTAGTCAATGGCTTTGCATCCAATATTTCCATGTAGGACTGGGAAAATGGCTCTCCAAACCAACTCTCACTTTACATCACTGAGTTTTTACCAAAGGTAAACAATCCTTGGTCTAATGCTTTATTAAAAATGAAATCAATGTAAGACATAACTGTTAATTAACGTACATGAGTAGAACATGGGACTGTTTGGGAAAATTTAAAAGCACTAATATATGAACGACGATGTTATTTTTTTAGTCTCTGTGCAGAAAGTGTCAAGGAAAGTCCCTGTACGGACTCACAGTGTGAGGTTGTCAGAGTGAACTACCAAAAAGTAGTAAAGGATCTGGCAGAGTATTATCCAGAACTTTTAAGAAGGGATGAAGTTGGTACTCTATACAGGGTGATTCGCTACCAGACCGACAAACTTGCAGAGTGCGTAAGGGGTACAGAGATGACTCAGAATCACATAGGAATGCAGGGTCACAAATGCTTCAGTTGCGAGCTATGGTGCAAAGAAGCAGAGAAAAAGAACAGAGCAACACATTAATGGTACAGAAAATATTTTATTGAAAGGTTGTACAACAAGTATTCGAAATTACAACCAGAAGTTGTCTGGCAGGCCTGACAGCAGGGCAGCATAGAATTGCTTATGTTCTGGAAGTTTCCTAGCATGTCACGTATCCTACAGATATTCAAGCAACGAGGTCTTCAACTGAAGAAACGGGCATCTTGGACACCAAACTCCTCATATGATCCCAGAAGAAGAAGTCCATGAATGACAGGCCCAGTGATCTGGCAGGCCAATGAAATGGGCCAACAAAACCTATTCACTGCTGTACAAGAATTAGGCGGTATACAGATGTCAGTCATGCAATGTGGAGGAGCCCCATCATGCTGATACCACATGGAGCAGCACGACAGAGGAACATGTGCTGCGTCAAAAAGTTCGGGTAGGAGATGTTGCAAGAAGATCAGGTATGCCCTACCATCCAAAGGATTGGGCAGAAGGTACAGTCTAATCAGAGTAGTCTCCAAGAACACTAGTTGAAACATTGACGAGAAATGCTCGAGCTGCATGTGATTGCATACGACGAGGGTTCCTCAAAGCCCACACATGGGCATTATGCTGACTGAAGGCTCCCTCACATGTGAAGTATGCTTCATATGTGAACAATATGGATGCAGCATATGTGCCATCTGCAGCACTCAGTTGCAAGAACCATGCAGCAAACATCCTCTAGAGTGGATAATCCTCAGGCTCTAATAATTGGATGCAATGAAGATGGTATGCACTCACTTGCTTTGCTGCGAGTATTCTCCAGACAGTACGAGTACTTGGATTGTCTTCTGCATTACAAAACAAAAATGTACACAATGTCATCTGCTGTTGGCATTCAAGCAATGCACAATTTTTTCTACTTCAGCATGCCCGTTAAAATCTGTAGCTCCATACACCATCAGCATGTTGACCAGTTCGTTTGAATGCGTGTTCATCCTACTACCTCGGAAAATGGATCCCAAATGACGAATTCCAGCAGGATTGCTGTTCACACAACTTCCGTTCAGCACCATCTACTGCAAGACTGCTGGGAGGAATCTTCCAGAACGTCAATGTAAAGCCTGCCAGACGACTTCTGGACGTAATTTTGAACGCGTTTTGTAGCACAACCTTTCAATAAAATGTTTTTTTTTCCTCGATAATGTGTTGCTGTCTGTTCTTTTTCTCTGCTTCTTTGCACCATAGCTCACAACTATGGGATTTGCGAACCCGCATTAATATGCAATTCCGATTCGTCTCTGTACTCCTTACACAGCCTGCAAGTTTGTCAATCTGGCAGCGAACCACCCTGTAAGAAGATATATGACAGAATGTTCGAAATAGATTCTTGATGCTTTAATATAATTCACTCAAAGGGTAAAATAAAATTCTTTGGGAGTATAAAAGAATATGCTATAGTTTCGTAGAATGTAGCATCTCTTAAATGAATGCCATGATGACAGATATGATAACTGGGTGGCGTTAGTAGTCACTCAACATTACTTCAGCTTTCAGAAAAGTACCAGTTTTATTATCTCATGACAAAGAAAATGTAATCTTGTTTTAAAGAAGCAGTTGTTTAAGATGCAAAGATATCTACTGTGTATTATTTCTTGCAGTCAATGAGAAATATTCTGATAACAGACATGTTCAAATTCCTATGAAACTTAAAGCTAAGTTTGTGCATTTTTTTCATTTCTGAGGATGTTTATAGATTCATTTATACTTAATCTCCATAATGGCAGTATTCAAACTCTTAACAATGTAAATACGACATCTGATTTTATGACCATTTTTTGCATAACTTCATGTCGTTTTTTGCATGAAAAACATTTAAAAAAATTCACATACACAGAAAAGCAGAAATTGCCCGTGCTGGTAGTGCATCTATTTACTAACTATGAATTAGGAAAGAATAATTAATCTAAAAATACTATAACATGCTGATTATAGTAGACGTAAACTTTCATAGAAAACCATGGCTGAAAGAAATTATTTTGTTTATTACACTAATTCTCATAAATGAAGATAACATTCTGAACATCTATCCTAGCCACACAAGGTAACAGTTACAATCCTAGTAAAAGAATAAGTACTTACAAGAAAACTATTTCTTACTGGACTAGAAGAGAAACACGCTAATGTGACAATCAAAATCGTAAAAACAACCTTGTATTTAGCGTAAGTATATGAAACACTCAATCGATTCGAGGGCAGCTAAAGTCCTTCCTCATCAGCCAGAAAGACTTTTTTTTTTTATAACATATTCTGTCAGTGGGTTTAAAATATATTGGCCAAACAAAAGAGCGTTGAAGTGTTGATCAGGACACGAGTCTTACTGCAGAAAGGCGAAATTACAAGTCTTCAATAGGCATATCATAGTTTGACATTTAACCATAATTTGAATTGGGTCGCAAAATTATCCAAAGGCTTCTTCCATAGATGAATGGGGAGGCTTTTTGTTATGATTTAATCCATTTTCCTACCAAAATTCACTAAAGCAGTTTATTTTGACAATAGAATGCATTTTTGTGATTAATCCAGAGGGTATAACCGGCGTTTGGTAAAGAGGGTATCTCTTCAGGTTGCTTTCCATTATCGAAGTTCCGATTTTGGCGTGAAGGTGCAGTGCCCCTCGCTCCCATTTTTTAACTTTGCTAATTTTCGGTCCTGGTTGTTACATGTTTGATCAGAGCCGGCTCAGTAAAGTAGGTGGCCCGTGTAACTGATTTAAAAATCGGTTAACCACGTGCAGGCTGATAAGGACACGTGGTCTGAGATCCTTTACTTTTTCTTCTTTCAGGTATTTCCTTTCTCCTTATGTGGAGGCCCCGAAAATCGATTGAGTGTTTCAATATACTTACGCTAAATACAAAGTTGTTTTTTACGATTTTGATTATTTCTTACTGCTTTTAAAAAGAAGACAACTATGCATAAATTTACAGCTTATACGTAATTTTAATCTCTTGGTTTATGGATGTCTCTTATCATTTTCACTTATGTAAATATAAATTCAGTAATACTGCTGAATTAATAACATTAAGTACAACTGAATATTTAAAAACTTACACTTATCTCAGATAACATCTCGTTTGTAAATTTTTTGCCTAATAACTTCTGAACATATAATTCTTTGTATTTTTTACATATTTCTAAATGATGTTTCATATGTTCCCAAGACCAATTTCGTCGCTTTCGTAGAACATCCTCTTCCAGAATAGCAGTAATGGCAAAGTTCCACCTGTAATAAAAATATAAAAATTGTGAATACTATACTGTAGTGCCACACATGAGCAAAAATTTTCATTTGAAACATATTACTTAAGAGCTGCACATGATTTTTAGTTAAATAAATCAAATATTCAGTGATAAGCTATGAAATGAAAGAACCATTTAAGCTAAACTTTTAAATACGGTAAAATATCCCAGCTAAAGTGGAGATCTTTGAAAGCTAGGATACTGAAGAACTATGTAGTAACTATTTGCAGAGTTCTTGTATGTAAGTAACAATTGCAGAGAAGGGTTAAAATACTTTTTTATTCTAACTGAAAAAGAGATTAACAGTCAGCCACTCTTGGACATACAGTGGGCCTCCACTTGAGTTTTAGCTTAAAACAGAAAATATAAAACAAAGACTAAATATATTTAATAAGGTGAAGATGCACAAATCAAACTTGCATAGTTGGCCCTTAACTAACAATCACCGGCATAAGCTAACAAGCGCGTAATAAATATATAGCCATATAATAACAAGCTTTAACTAATAGCAACAACGTGGCTGAGAAGCAGGCCACACTTTACTACTAAAATAACTCATATCAACTTAAATACAGTGGAACTTCAAGATATGAGTCTAATTTGTTCCAGCCTTGAGCTCATATAGCGAATTTTTCGTATCTAGAAACAAACTTCACCATTGAAAATTATGGTAATCTGTTCCACGCTCCCAAAAATATCTACATAAAAATCAATTTTCCTACTAAATAACTCCGGTAAATAATATAACAGTAGTTTACCTTTATGATGACTGGCGTTTGGGATGTGTGGATGACGAAACAGACTACTGTGGGGAAGGAGAGTCCCTTTATGATTCAGGAAGGCTCTCTCTTCTTGGAAACTTTATCCCATTGGAAGCATGTTCTGGGTCAGAATCACTAACTTTCTTTTAGTTGCAGGTTGCTTTACCAAAAACTTATCTAATAACACTTGCTTCTGTCTCCTTTTCAATATGTCTCTAAAATGAGATACTAGATTGTCATTACACAAGTTCATGGTCCACCCACACACTGCTTTATTAGGGTGATTATCTTCAAAGAAAGTCTTCACTTTTTCTTATTTTGCCAACACTTTTTTAATCTTACCAGATGAGAGTGCCTCATCTCCCATTCCCTCCTACCCTAACAAAAGCTCTTCTACCACCTCTTGTTACTGCTCCTTGTGAAGTTCTTTAAGTTCATCCGTTGTAAGTTCTTCATTACGCTCTTCATATATCCAGATCACTACCATCCACATCTAGACCTATACTTTTCCCTAGACATACAATTTCTTCGACTAGCTGCACTGTGTTGTCCACAAGTTGAGGATCGAAACCTAAGTCAGGAATACTTTAAGGCCACAGTTTCGGTGCTGAATTCAGATTCCTGACTGAGACTTCTTCCCAAGCCTTATCAATGAGGTTTAAACAGTATAGGATGTTGAAGTGATCCTTCCAAAATTATCTGAGGGTACGTCTTGGATTTTCAAAATACTTTTGAAATAAGCCCTTTGTGTATAGCTTCTTAAAGTTGGAAATAACTTGCTGATCCATAGGCTGAAGAAGTGGAATGGTGTTGAGAGGAAAAGCTTGACTTTTATGAACTGAAATTCCTCCAGCAAATCATCTTCAAGCCCTAGAAGATGTGCAAGAGCATTATCATGGACGCGCAAAGCCTTGAGTGGAAAATTTATTTCCGTGAACGTATATCTTCACTGAGGGACCAAAAACTTCATTGCCCCACTCGATGAAAAATTGCCGTGTTACCCGGCTTTACTGTTGGCCGGTCACATGACATTCAGTTGGGTTTTGTGCACCTTCCCCCTCTTGAAACCTCATGGATTTTCTGAATGGTAGACAAGCAACAGCTTGATTTTACAATCTCCACTTCCATTGGCGCAAAACAAGAGGTGAAGCCTTGCTTTCATTGGCTTGTGGCCAGGCAAAGATTTCTCCTCTTGCATGATGTAGCTCCTCTTACGCATTTTGTTCCAAAAAAGACCTGATTCATCACAAATACTTGCTGGGGAAGAAACCCCTCACTAGTAATAAATTTTAGGAACCCTGGCCAAAATTTATCAGCAGCAGCTGTATCAGAGTTCGCAGTCTTTCCTTCTTGTATAGCGCTGTGAACATCGATTTCCTTTTTAAATTTCTCAAATCATTCACAGCTTGCCTTAAATGCCATCTCATCTTCAGTTGATGGACCTGGTGTTTTTCGGAGAAGGTCCAAATACCTTACCTTTCTTAGGCTTAGTGAAAATAATAGCTTCCAACACTGAATTGTCTTTTAACTGCTTCTCGTCAATCTACGCTAACAGCTTTTCAACATCATCCAGGAGTTCTGGATGATGCTTGGAATTAATGGTATGACGAGGGGATTCCCCAAGTCGAACAGGAATGGGAAATGTGCCACACATACCAACAGTCTGACTTGCTTCTCATTACTTGAGTCAATGTTCATATTTAGAGACAAAACTTTTGCTCATATTTTCCTCGTATCTCGAATTTCTCGTATATAGAGGTGCTCGTATCTCGAGGTTCCACTGTACTTGTTTATGCCTTATCTGCATACAGCATAATACTGAAAACTCATTCTAACAGGAAAACATAGGTAGGAAAAGGAGAGCATACAGGAAAGGCATGTCTTAAAATAAAAATACAGTAAATCCCTACAATACTTTTAATCAACTTTTAGCCATAAATATTTGTAATATATTATCTGGGTGCTTTAGTAAAATTCTCAGTTAACAATTAGCCATTACATTCAACATTCAAGTAGCCAGTACTGGTCTGTGGTGGACTTAACTTGAAAAAATTAAATGCAATTCAATAGGCTGTTTATTTCTTTTCTTGAAATGCAATAATTATTTTCATCTGAAAACTATCACAAATAATGACTGAATTTTGTTATAAAAATGTACTGTAAATTTTACATTGATGATTATACACAATAACATCCTACAAATTGAAAGATTAAAAAAAGAACGGGAAAATGTTCGTTCTGTTTTAACATTAGCTTTCACAAAACAAGGCCCAACACATTTATTTTAATATGCAACAGCAAAAATCCAACTTCTCTTCCAGAATGAATCTACATATGTGCACTAGCTTTAATTTGATATATAACAAGCACTGAAGACTAGTACTGAAGGATGAAAATTCACGAGTTGAAGCTTGAAGAATTTGAAGCTTAAACATGTTTTAAAGTATAAGAACAGACTAGTTTAAAACATTTCCTAACTTACCATTCTTTTGCATGACCTAACTTTGGAACATCTGGCCTGTATTTTCTATATAATGTAGCAACAGTCATGCGATCAAGAGATTCCAATAACTTGATTAAGTCTTGATACTGAAATTAAATTAAAACATAACATTTTAAAAGTTAAATATCAGTTAAACAAAAAAGAAATTCAACCATTTCAATTCATTTAGATGTTAAATATTTAAAATTAATAATATAGAAAATATGAGTATTTGCCTCAAACACAATTGCAGTTTAGTCATAAAATTTATATTTCATTAATATCATACTTTTACATTTTGAAACAAAATCACTTATGAGCAATAACAAATAGGTAAATAATACAAAATCTACCTGTAACCTTGAAAGACCAACAGCTATTTCTTCCATTACAACATTCAACCAAACTTTAGGAATTTTGAACCCTGATCCGTCTGATTCTGGCTTAGAATTCAACTGCAACTGAGCTTTGGAATTTATAGGACCAAGCACTAAACAAATATTTAGAATTTATATTAACACATCAAAAATTTTATAATGAAAGAAAATAGCAGTATAAAAATAAATAATATGCCATAATTAAACAAAAAGTTTTTAAAAAATTTTAAAAAAAAACCACGAAAAAAAAATTTTTTTTCCTTTACTTAAGAGAAGTTATGCAAAGTTCACCAAAAGTAAGGGCTAATATGTTTCTTATCGTCAAGTCAATAATATTTCTTTTTCCTTAAGCCTTCTATTGCTAAACTGTAACATTAAAAAAATGTCTGTCTGCCATGTTGAATACATACATTAATAAATTTCACATAGCATATTATTAATCAATATTTTTTGAGAATATTAATTTAGAGTACCTGAGCATAGGAGTCAGTAAAGGCACATATGAAGAACAGAATCGTGTCAATTTAGCAATGTAGCATGAATGTGTACTTAATACTGTAAAAGTTAATGAGCATGCATTAATGAATTGATTTCTTCCTTCTTATGTGAAGATGGGAATATATACAAGCATATGCATCGAGATAAAAATGTTTTTGTTGGTTTCTTAAACAGTGGGAAATTCTTATCATTCTTCATATTCAATATATAACAGCTAACACTTTTTTTTTGCTTGCTTTTGTTTCCTTGATTCCTTTATTTACAATGATCACTTAATCATAAATTGCAGAACACCAGGATTAAAAAAAATCACAGAATCTTCACTAATGTTCTAAAGCTAGAAGTACCAAAAATTTACTTATTCATTTTTTGAACTTATTCATTTTGGAAAATACTTATGTACGCTGCTCAAAAAAAAAAAAAAAAAAAAAAAAAAGGGACAGTCCTATATCTCCCAATCTACTGGGCCGATTGACAAAATTCAAACTGCGTTCTTCATGTCTCGAAAGCGCGACTTAGGATATATATTAGATTTATATATAGCACTATTCTAACATAGGTATTTTGACATAAAATCGGACTTTTTCTGAAATAACATACCAATTTTTTTACATATTTCGATTCTACAACTCAAATTACGCCTAAATATAAAATTTTGTAAAATTTGGAGCGAAATTTATGGAGAAATTCACAAATTTATGTTGGCACTTTTTTGTCAGTTTGCGCCAATATTTGGTAAGAATAGTCACTTGGCGAACTTCTTAATATATGGCAACCTAGTTTCCTTTCCCGTGAGAGGAAAAAAAGTCACCATCGTTCCTTTTTTCCAAATAATATTCTTTATATATATTTTTAATTATAACTTATTATTTTAAGTAATTTTTCTTTTTCGAATTTCATTTTAATTGTTTAAGTTGCATGGTTTTTTTCGAATAACTGTCTTAAAAATTTCTATTTACCTATTCGAACTGCGTAAATAAAGGTGCAGCGTTTATTTTTTGTTTTCAAATAGTTTTTCTTTATATATATATGTTTGTCATAGTTATTATTTTAGGTAATTTTTAAAATGTCTTATACTTTTATTTTAATTGCTTGTATTTGCATTGTCTCTTCAGATAATTGTTTTTAAAAATTTTCTATTTATTCCTTCGAATTGAGCATTTTAAATATTTATTAATATAAATTTTCCAGAATTTGATTTTATTTATTTGAATTGCCTTTCTTTCGGAGGAATACTTTATGTAACCCAGAACTACGATGCGTTTGAAAACTGCACATATTAAAAAGAGAAAATACACAGTAAAGCACAGTTAACATGCCTTTCAATGTTCTGTTCAGAAAAAGATATATATAAATAAGAGAGACATGTAACTTAAAATTGCGACATTTTAACTTAGGATGACTTGCATACACTGCTTTAAACAGTTTTAACATCGTGCCCATTGCTTTACACAATTTTATCCTACATTTGGCTTCTTAAATGTTATTCATATTTTAGTCAAATATTTTATTTTTGAAATCGTAAGAATCAAATATCATAAGATTAAAAAAGTTTTAAATTAAAAAAAAAAAAATACAAATACAAAATTTTACCCAAAAATTTATTTTTTCTTCTCTTTTTCTTCAGGCATTCCACTTTATTCTTGCTCTTTTTCTTTAGGCATTCCGCAACCATATTAAAAAGCATCCAAATTTTCGAAATATCTTGATATTTCTGACAATCATTTTAAATAAAGTTATCGCCTTCCATTTCATAAAGGCCCACAAACGGCCTAGCGGTAAAGTCGCTGAACACTGATAGTTCACTCCGGGGTTCGAATCCCGGTAAACGGGCTGGTTGCATAGGCGTTTTCGTGGATTTTCTCATGTGTACCATTTATGCCAGCTGGTTTCTCTTAGAAAGTTTTTCACAAAGGCATCCTTCCTTTTAGGCAGATAGCCCTGCTTTGACGTAACTTAATAATCCAATTCAATCCATTTCATCAATATTTGGTAAGAGCCTTTATCAGTCTTTAGAGGCTAAACATTTTAAAGGTATGAGATGAAAGGAAAGACTGGTTTCATTAAGAGGTTTTGGTTTATTTAATTACGACAAAGCACACTAGGGCTATCTGCCTAAGGAAAGGGATGCCTTCGTGGAGGACTTTCTAAGGAAAACTGGCTCGCATACACGTTACACATGGGGAAAACCACGAAAATACCCATGCAGCCAACCCGTTCGCGGGATTCGGACCTCGGACAGAACTACCAGCATTCAGCGACTTTATCACTCGGCTGCTGTTTCATCAGGAGGACAAAAAAAGATCTTTAGGCGACATCCACATACATCACTGGATAAACTCCTGAATCTTCAAATAATTCGACTGAGAAAATCATGGGATTCTCCATTTATGATACGATATGATGTTCTATAACGTAATTTAAATTTATACAACCATATAGTCTAAAACCAGTCGCTCTTCACTTTAATCGGCAATGATATCATTTTTGTCTTTTCTGTTAACCACAAGCTCAATTGATGGTATTTGCTGGTGTACACGTCCAAGTGTTTTTTCTTTGAACATCTAAATTCTTTGAAGTATCCTGAAAGTATATTCAAAAGCGTCCAACTTTTTGAAACATCTTGGTATGTCTGACAGCCAAATTTCCCTGCAAATTTTTGCTTACTTTTCTCCCTAATTTTCTTCTTTCCTTCTACAGTTATTTTCAGTGCACACACAAGAAAATTAAGACTTTTTGATTGCTAGACTTCCATAAATTTTGCATTCTTGTCAATTTTTTAAAATATCAATTACATGAATTACGTTTCAGCTGAAGACAGCTTTTCATTTTCTAGTCATTTTAACTATAAATAAAGTTTAAAGCGAAGTCCAAAGGATAAATATTTTAATTAAAATATTTTTGATAAATGACAAAGAAATAAAACAGTCCAGCAGGGTTTATTCTGTACCACCGAGTGACACGATTCTTATATCGGCTGAAACAATCTAAATCATATTAAAGATCATGTTTTTTATAGAATCTATACGCGAGAGAAAAATTAGCTTCTTAAAACATTCTTTCTAAGAGAATTAATATAAAAGATTATATTTATATATATATTTTTAAAGCTGGGACTTGAACCAAACTGTCAAATTTTTAAAGTTTAATTTACATGGTGGTTATAATTAAAGTTCCAATTTGAAATGATCATAAAAGGAAAACTACCGTACCAAATGTTATCAAACTTGGGAATCGTGGAAAGGAGGTTATGGGAATTTATTTTCCGCAGAAAAAAAAAGAGTTCAAAAACTCACCACCAGGGGAAAAATGTCGCTGCATACAAGATTGTTAAATGAAATAAGACACGAAAACATCTGTTTAAAATGTGTTTAATATTTTCCGAAATGTGTTACAAAGCATGTTCAATGTAGCGTCCAGCATTTTCCGAAAGCAAGTTAAATCCTGTTACTGCATTCTCAACAGCAGCTCTTGGCATATCAGGAGGAATGTTACGGACATGTCAGTGTATCACATTTTTCATTTCTGCCAAATGGTTTAGATTATCACTATAAACAGTGCTTTTGAGAAAACCCCATAGCTAAAAGTCACAGAGGTTAAGGTCTGGTGGGAAGAGGGGAAGTGTTGGCTTATAATACGTTCATTCGTGAAATGTTGCTTAAGTAACTGTGCGACACACGTGAGGTGGGGCCCAGCCCTGCATAAAAATCAGAGTATCTAAAATGCCACATTACTGCAGTTCACGTATCATGAAACATTTTAACATTGACTCTAAGTGAGCTGCAACCACAGTGGTCCAGCTGTCGACTGCTCTTTAGAGAAAAATGGTTCAGTTATAAAACTAGCTGTCATTCAACACTAAACGGTGTGGAATGACTGCTATGCAGTCGAATGCAGTAGGAGAATGCAATGGAACTAGATAGATAACATGAGGGTTTTCTTTGGCCCAAATCGATTAAAAGCGTTTTGAATCAGTATCTTCATGTTTTAGGGCCGAATTCAAAAATTACAAATTAGCGATCTATAAGAAAACGATTTCCAGATTTACGCACTTGTGCGAGTGACTTGCAATCTCACATTTTCTAATCGCTAATTCGTGGTTTTCACGGAAGAATTTCTCACTTACACGGATGGTGCACTCCACATTTATCGAATTTAACGCCTTTAAATGGTAATTTGCTTACTTCAAAATTTCTTAAGGGTATACAACATATAAACCCGTGTAACAAAAGGTTAAGTCAGATTCCGACCCATATTTCGTTTAGAAATATTGCATATTTCCCCCCCTGGTGGTGAGGTTTGGAACTTCCTTTTTTTTGCGGAAAATAAATTCCTATGACCTCCTTTACACGATTACCAGGTTTGATAACATTTGATCCAGTAGTTTTTGTTTTATGAACATTTCAATGTGGAACTTTAATTACAACCACTCCGTTATATATTAAATTTCATTTTGAAGCTATGCTTATATGTATAACCATACGTAAAATTTTCGCTTTTATGGAAAAATAAGAATCGAAGCAAATATACTTCGATATTTAATTTATTTATATATAATCGGACCAAAACTGAAAACATTTCCCCTCCCTTCGAAAATAAAATATTGAATTTCACC